GAAAAAAAAGATGAAATTGCCACTCAAAGAAATTGCAGTGGGCCAGCAGCTCGGTGTTGCCTGGGCTCCTACCTGGGCTGCCTGGCCGGCGCAAGTGTGTCGCCTTTAAAGTGATTTATGTGGAAATCTGAGATTAACGTGTAAAATGTGGGTGTGGGGAAGGAGTATAGTGCGGCTGGAAGTTAAGGCGCAGATGCAAAGGCAACTGGAGCCAAACTTTGCCGGGCCTGGCCGCAGGTCTGCTCCCCGTTGATAATGATGATAGTGTTGCGTACAAAAATTTATTACTCTGGAAATTGCATTATGAAAAATGCATAAAATACCAGACACGCAGCCCGGGCTGGCAGTTGTAATTATGTGAAATGCCCATATTTAAATTAAATTAAATTAATATCAAGTGCCCTGGGCTTTTAGCAATTTTAACGTTTGGCATAAATCAAATAATAAACTTGCCCGCTGTCAAACAGCAAATAATTATTTATGTGACTTTTTTAGGAATTTTTAAATTAAAAATATAAAATATGTTACTGTAGAATGCTTTGAAATAAAATTAAAATAAACAATGCTGCGATGGTGAGCCAGGAATAAGGTCACCACTAAGCAGTTAGAATCTAGGTTTAAACCTGGGAATAATCACAGGCATAATTATAGTCTCTAAGCCTAAGGCGAAGTATTATTTATTAGTTAAATTAAGACGATTTATATTTATAAGTATTGAATTTGTTGCTGGAAAATATCATATAGAAGATTTCAATTCGAACTGCATATGAGCAGACCTTAAAATAAACTTAAATGTGTTTTCGCCGTGTTACTTAAGGACAACAATGGTTACAAGGTATAAGAACCTGCAGGGTAAAAGAAAATTAAAAGCTGTCTTAAAATCTGCAAATTAAAAACTTGGCAAATTGTTGGTCCAAATTAAAGACGCGCACAAAAAATGGGAAACTTTCTGTGTATGACCTTGTCGCAAGCTCTGTGTTTAGCGGTGCTGGCAGGGCATACATATACACACATACACACACACACACACACACTCACACACACAACACACTCACAATCACACGTCTTGCGTGCTGCAACACGTTGCCAGCACAGTCGTTGCCTTCTGCTTGTCATGCAACTGTGGCAGTGGCAACATGTCGTATACGTAATGGCTGCGGAAACGTTTCTACGTCGCGTCGCATCGCATCGCATCGCATTACGCCGTGCTGCACCGCGCCTGCTGTCAAATTGTGTGCAAAAATAAAATGAGGCAAGAGAGCACGAGTAGAACTCAACTTTTGTCAAGGACATTTCGTAGTGTCTCATTATTTTTCATATTTCCTTTAACGGCCAACCAAAATAGCAAGCTGAGACATTCGCCAAAACTCGCATCTGGATGTGCACAGCTGAGCCGTGCCTGGTGTCAGCCACGCCCCGTTTCAAATGCCACACACCTTTCGCATATTATTTGCCACAAGGCAAAACCACAAAATAACATCACTTCCACTTCTGTTGCTGCTGCTGTCGCTGATACGCTGTTCTCGTCATCAGCAGCAACAATAACAGCATTCAGGCAAACTAATCAAAACAGCAATCCAATCCCAATCCCAAGCCCAAACAACAGATACCAACTGCATCAATGGCAGCGGTGGCAACGGCTCCTAAAACCATGCCACACTTTTGTGCCGCTGCTGCCTCAGGCAAATGCATTGGATTGTTGTAGTTGTAGTTTATTTTGTGGTTGCCTGACTTTTGTTGGCCTCATGTGTTGCTTATGTTGCACGGCAACCCGAGCAGCGTTTACCGCTGACGCCTTAGGCTCATTATAGCAACAAAGGCCAATACTGCGGCGCGACATAAAAAGAAAATTGAAAATTTTGTTAAAAGCAGCTCAAGGTTTCTGAATGCAGTCGTCAAAGTTTTTCGTTTATTTTTATTTTTTATTTGGTTTTTTTTTTCCACGTTGGCAGCGACAAAACTTTTTAATGGATTTTACGATAATATAGAAAACCGAAACTTGAAAATTGTTGAAAGCTTTAACGAAGTTTAAATGCACTTAAATTTGATTTTATTTTTAAGAGTTTTGTACGTTTGTGTTTAAATTTTTAATAAGCTAGGAAATAAAACTCTTAGAAGAAGTAAAGCAATTTTACAGTTCAATTTTTAATTGAAAATTAAGTAATTGCATTCAGCAAAGTAAAAATATCTTAAATAAATTACATTTTTTATGCCAAAATTATGCTGCTAATCTTGGCAATTTATATTCAATATAGCGAACTTAAATGCATATTTAACTTATTCGATTTTCTTTTTGATGAATGCCATTTGAAACGAAAAAGTGCCTTTACAATTTCCTGTCGCTGTAACATAAATATTTGATGGCAAATCAAATAAATATGAAATATAAATCAATAAAGAAATCAATAAATTTATTATAATTCCAATTCCATTGCATTTTCTGGCAAGCAAATAGACATAAGTGCGTATCCTTTTATACTATAATTAGTTCATGATTCCTACTTGGAAAGGGTATGAATCCTATCATAATACCCAAATGCGTTGCTGGTCAATCATTCGCCACTTGGTAGCTTATGGCCGTTGCCTGATCCTGTCGAAAAAACTTTTTTCACTTTTATGTCATTGTTATAATAAGGGGGTTTACTTTTTCGGCTCATCCATAACATCAAAGATTTTCAGCTGGGAGGAGAGCTAACTATGCATAGTTTTGCATATTAATGCAGTGCAGAGTCATCAAAAATCAGAAGCAACAGCAGCTCAGCATCAGAGTCGGGAGCATCGTAAAATATGCGAAAAATCTTTGCAGGCAGCTAAGGTATTATGCAATTTTCTCGACATTTATAAATATGCGCCATATTTGACAGGTGCATTAACGAAGTTTCAGACACGGCCCCAGACAGGGGGCGACCAGATAAAAAATGATGTGAGTAGGAAAGCAATTTGCTTGATTATGTTGAACAGTTGACGGACGGGTTGGCGTAGCGGCAGCCACGCCCACCCCTCAGTTGAGTTCATGACTAGGGTGAACCATGGAAAACAGGCGGAATGGGGCGGAATGGGGCGAAATGAAGAAAGGATGGGCTGCATAAATCGCTGACGCTTGACGCCAAAGCTGATCTGTCGCATAAGTCATGCCAAATTACGAGCATCAGACAGCTGGGGGCAAGGGGCAGGAAGCGTAATAGGTGGCACTTCAGTAAGCTGCAAAAGCAATGCTGAACAATGAATGAAAAATTACATTCAATTAAACGTAAAAGGTAAATGTTTCGTTGACATATTCTGTAATTCGAGCATAAACAATAAATTGATGAAAAGCAAGTCGAAAGTGCTGGACTAAGTACTATTCTTTACATATATAAATCTGTCACACTTTTATTTATCGAACACACATTGGCATCACATTTTTACTTGACCAACGAGAGTTTGCAATAGCCATGCATATATTCATCAAGAGAAATGGTAAAAGAAAAGAATTTTGCAGTAGGAGTGGACATTATTTATTATTATGTATTATCGTAAATAGACGAAACTCTTCATAACCTTCTCCTAGACATATTTATATTTGTAACTTAACAAGAACTAATCAAAAACTGTATTTCTCTTTTTTCTCTATTGCTCTAAAATTTAATTTGGGTATAAAATAAGAGGGTATTATTTTGTGATATGTGTAACGCACAGATGGAGACTTCTCCGAGCCTATCTATATTCTAGATCAGCATCAACAGATGATTTGATGTGTCCGTCTGTCCGTCCGTTCATCTGTCTGTTTGTATGTGAACTAGTCTCTTCGTTCTTAAAACTTTGCATAAGTAAATATATCGAAACCAGTCGGATTGGACTACCATTTCATATAGCTGTCATTGGAACGATCGGTCGAAAATAATGTTATTGTAAGAAAACATTTATTGTTTACCAAGATATCCTGACCTAACTCGGCAATTATTAGTTTCACTGTGCTCCTCATATAAATACAAAATCTTATGAAGTAGATTTTTGTTTGTTAAAATATCCTGTTTTCCTAGATATTTTCTTTATGCTCAACATTTACGTGCTTTACTATTCTCGCACATATGCAAAACCGTAAGGCAAATATCTACAAGGGTATTCAATCTTCGGCGTACCGAAGATACCCTTATTTTCTTGTTGTTGCGAACTACTTTAACTGCCTCTTTCACCTATTTTGGGTACCAGGTATTTCGATACATGCGCGCCCATATATTTTATTTGCAATTGCTTTAATTGGTAGGAGTCTCAATGCAATTCAGTTAAAGCGATGAAAGTGGAGTGTAACGTAGTGAAAACGTGAAATAAATGTAATAAGCTACGCATGGTTGGAAACACACAATGTACATTTTACATCGGTATCACGAATCGATTTGATTTATAACAACGAAATCAAGTGGCAATCCACAAAAACGTTTCGTTTCGCGTCATTTCAGCTGTTTTAAACACTGAACCATATATTAAGACCCATTTAACTTGATGAAATTTCGAATGCGGCTTGTTTATTAGATAAACGCAACTCTAGTTTAGATTGAGTTTAAATTGGAGCTTCAATCGTGCTATTCGTACTGTATAAGCTTTTCATTTATTTATTCTATTATTACTTTTGGAATCCCCTTAGGGCGAACACAACGATTGAAAATTTCTCAGTTTGCACAGCGCCAAAAGTTAAAGAAAGTGGACAGATGCCAAAAGGCAATCGTTGGGCTTCCAAATGTCTCGGCTGAAGTGTCGTGCCATTTAAATGAGCTTGTCAAGTTGGATTTTTGAACATTAATCACATGACCCAGCACAAGGACAGAGGAAGAGACTCTAACTGTGGTTAATGGCGGTCGATGGGCTTGGACGGGCGTGGCAGTTGCTTTTAGCACGAGACGGATAAACAAATTACATTTGGACTTAATGACAGCTAAAAACAATTTTTGGTTTTTCTCCCGATGTCATCATCGTTTTAAAGCTAATTATTTTGATGGCCTTTGAATGGTGATTCCACTTACCTATCATACTCGCGGTTATCCTCATCGCAGCGATTATCCTGCAGCTCGCGCCAGCTCTTGCCATGCCGGCATGTGGTCACCATAACCATATCACGTCCATTATGCAAATGGAAGAGCGAGTTGCGCGTTTCGGAGCCAATGCCATGAACGTAACTGCAATGGGATAAAAGTTCGAGACGAAATTTAACAGCTTGACAGCGAAAGAGAGAACATATATAAATAAAAGTATTTCTTAAAGCTATCGATGCGGCACATGTACACGATGCTTAGGTCATATTAAGCTGGCAGATTGCGGAACACATAAAAAGCGGTGTCAAAATCAATTGCAATAAAGCAGCTTCAAATGGGGAGGCCCCAAAAGAGGGTCCACAGGGAGCAGCAACAGCAAAGCTGGCGACGGGGACAAGAGTCGAGCTCAAATCTGCGCTGGGCCGCAAGCAAAGCAATTGAAACAAAAGATGCTTACAACAATGGACAAACGCACACACTCTCACACACACGCATATACATGCAAGTCTAACGTAGTTGTGTGTATGGGCCAAAACAAAATGGCAGCTGCTCGAGAAACTAAACAACAACAAGAGCAACAACAACAATCGCAGCAGCAGTCGAGCAGAAAAAATGCTAAGGCAACGCCAGTCGCCTTATAAATACTAACACACATGTATACAAATACATATATTCGCATGTATGTGTGTGTGTGTGTGCGTGTACAGTATGTGTACGTGTGAGCAATTTCCTTCTGCTTGGCTTGCAGTTGAGCAAATTTCATAGACAATGAAGTACGCGCCACAGCAGCAACGAACTGGCCACAGATTGGGCAACGCTGATTTCCGGCTCTGACTGCTGACCAGCAGCAGCAGCAGCAGCAGCAGCAGCAGTAGCAGTAGCAGTAGCAGTCACAGAGAGAGAGAGAGAGAGAGAGAGAGAGAGAGTTCAGTTTAGTTTGCTGACTGCTTCCTTTTGGGGCTTTAAGTGAGCCAAAGCCATCAGTTATTTGATTTAATCAGCGTGTCATTGAGGTTAGCTATGGATTTGAAATGATACAAATGTGCTTTATTTATCGGAATACCAGAAGGTAGAAGAGCATGCGCCTGACATTCCATTCTCGAGGCGAACTCCTTTGTTTGGCATTATTATAGCACAGTTCTGTGGTCAGCTATGGGCTTCAAATGGACATGTTTGCTTAAAGTCAGGCGAATGCTAAACAAAAGCCAAGAATTTTCGGTTAGTGCGGCTGCCGGAGAAACTTTTTGATTTCTTGCAAAATGTATCACACGAGATTTGTTGTAATCTGGAATCGAAGGGAGCATTAAATGTAATAAATTCCAGTTGCAGCACGCCCTAAAATCGTTTTGAATGCGAAATAAAACCTACAACCAAGTTTACCCGCAATAAATAATATATTTTGTCACAGAGTTGTGTAGTTACTTGAAATGAATTGTAATGCGTTATGAATAAAATAGAAGAGAGAACGAGCTGAAACGAATTTTGAATTGGCCAGCAGATTAAAAGCTAACCAAAAACCTCTAATGCTTGGTTTTTGTGGCCACTAAGCCTGCGTTTTATAGCTTGTAAATGTGTCACAGAGATTTGTATTAATTAAAAATTAATAAGCGAGATTAGGAATTGAATTGAAACCGAATGCGCATAATTGTCAATACATAAAAATAAATAAAAGCGGTTGCAGTAACACAATCAAACTGTCAAATTATACTGTCAGTTCATTTGCATAAACAAACTGATTGAATGCTCATAAAACAGAGGCTCAACAGCTCATCATAATCATTCTCAATGGGCTGCTGGTTGGCTCTGTAAGCCCCAAATTTAATGGCATAACAATTTATTGGGCATCTGGGATTTCGTGCAGTGTAAATTAATTTGGGCCACACCAGCAAACAGCGCAGACGAGGCGGCAACACAGCTGCAGTCGCAACAGGGCATGGGAAGGGGGGCGGGGGTCGCTGACGATGACAACATTAATATAAATTAAACGCATAGGCTGACATTACAAGGACTTCATCCGGACACAATGTGGATAAATAACAAATGCTTTTAGCAGCGACAAGAAACGAGCATGGCCTGCTTAAATGTTATTTATGCCCCCAACTCCCCACTAAATGGGTCAATTAAACATTGATTGAACCACCGTCGCTCGCCCCAACAATTGAAATAAAAAACTAAAAGCCAGAACTGTCCTCGCCATTGTTCAGCGAGCGTATAAAGTGCAATAACCAGGCGTACATTGAACCAACTTTTGGCTCGTTTCCACAAGCGTACTCAGCTACACTCGCTGACCACTAATCCAAACATAATCTAAAATAATTGAGTATTGCCCAGCGAGGAGCCTTGCCGGGATGACTGTGCGGCGCTTTTTCAGCGCCACTCTGAATAATTTATGCGCGCATTAAATGCGCTTAAATGTGTGCGTGTGTGCGCTTGTGTATATATATATATATATATACGTGTGTGTGCTCCTAGTAAAACATAGTTTTAGAGTATCCGTTTGCGAATTGAGCATCCTTCGTACCAGAGCTGTCAGACATTTTAATTCTACTTTTTAAAGCCAGAGGAAGCATTTAATTTAGCATTCAATTTACTGTTGTTCCTTTAAATAATAAAACCGTTTAAACTATAATAATAGCGTAGTATTAGTAGTATACACACATTTATTAACGCTTTACATGCAGGGATAATACGAGCTGGAATTAGAGATGGGTGAATGTGCCATGAAATTGGTAGGGGGAGCTCGGGCCTCGAAATTGAATTTGAATAGGAAATGGATACACAAATATTGAGCAATATCTTAATGTCGCAGCAATATGATACTTATGTAACGATACGAAATAAAATAAATAAATATTGAACAAAGTCTAAACAAAATCGGTTAAACACAAATTTAATGGCGAAAAATACAAGTTGTTTTTTGTTAAGATGCTTAGTAAAAAGTACATTAGAAATTGGGTAAACTTTCTGACTGCTCCGATATTTGGTTGGTGAGAGTATTTTGGCAAGAAGTCTAAGATTCTTTTTTGACCAGATTTTTTAAAAGTAAAAAACAAACATTATTTGAAACATGGCACAAACTTTCATAATAAAATATTATTAAAAGTTAAAGTCAATTTATCATTCGTCTGCAACTAAAATGAAGAAAATATATTTTTATTACATAGATAGATTTTATTTATTATTATTATTTTGCTTTCAAGCCTGTAATGCAACCCTGTCGGGGAGCAAGCAAATGGCACATAGATGTTGCTGCTGGTTCACAGCATCTTGGCATCTTGGATTCTTATGACATAAGTTTATGGGCCGCTACTTGCAATGGCTTAACGCGGCGCGCATTGTCCAGTGGGCGGCCATTAGCCCCAAGTTATGCGGCAACTGCAGCGACAACAGCGTGGCAACAGCGATACAACAACTCCGGGCAGCTTATCTATGCAACTTCAAAGCTTTTGTGATGGCGCCAACATGACAGACATGGACATAAAGCTGCAACGCGGCGTATGCGCAATATCTTTGCCTTTATATCTCTGTGTACGTGAGAGCGTTTGTGTGTGTATGTGTGTGTCGTGGTATAGAGTATAAAGCAAAAATTGTGTCGTCAACGGTCGCACAATGCAACAGCTACAGCAGCGCTTCAGGCTTTAAATCAGTAAAGACAACAACAACAACAACAAAAGCAAAAGCACCAGCATCAGTTGCGCAGATACGCTGTAAACCAGGTAGTACTTTTACCTTACAAAATATACATAAGTAAATATATTTTAAGTGCAGCATAACAAAGGCAACAGCAGCAACAAAATGGTCCGTAAGCTGTGCAAATAAATCCAGGTAAAATTGCTCTGGTTAACGTTGGCTGGTCTAGAATATACTCTGCACTCAAGCTCAGAGCAGCCATAATATGCATTCCAACTCAGTGTCACATCATGCGGAATTTAAGAATTTCCTATAGCTTTCAAATTTTCTAGACCTATTTCCTTATCTCTTATGATTTTTTATAAATGCCTAAAGAAAGGCCTGGGGTGGAACCCGATTTTGTAGATTTGCCTGTTTTGGCGTTAATCAAACGTTATGCGTTATCTTTTAAAGCAACAAAATTTTCATACAGACGAATGACATGAGGAACATGACAAGATTCGTGCAGCTGTTGAGGCTGAACAAGGGTATATAATATATATATTATTTATACATTATGGGTTCAAAGATGTCTCCTCCTGCTTGTAGGAATATGACCATTTGACACAATTTGAAATGAATACAGGGTATACAAAATATTAAATGCAAACAAAGGCAAGGGAAAACAATAACTTTCGGGATGTCATTGATTGAATACCCTTGCAAATATATGGCACAAGCGAGAAGTTATATTCAGATATTGATCAACCATATTAATAAATTTCTGCAAAAATGTTAGCAGAGTTAGCTGGCATAAATTGCATTCATAAAAGTTTCTAATGCTAGCAGTATTTAATCAGTAATAAAAATATTTTACTGTGCATGCAGAAAGCATGCGTTCTGGCATCAAATTACAATACTCTCTGCAAGAGTAGTTTAAGCTTGTTTAACAGAGAAATACACATCACATTGATGTCCTGTCAGAATATACATTTGTAAAAATCTGTTTACAGGCATTTAATAACTTATGGATCCCGTATTCATATGAATATTATTTTATTATAGAAACTTGTGACTCAACATCATATATAAACCAAAGCGAAATTTATAGAATCTCATGGAATCTGGTTAAACAACCTTCGCACTTTGAAAGATATATTGATTTATATTTGTTTATTGATAAAGAATTTCAGCTTATTTCGCGCTGGTAAAACTATTTAAGTAGCCCTCGTGCTGTCAAAGAGTGCAGAGTTAAACAGAAACCTGAAATGCAGTTATCATGTCTGTTGCGATAGTCGAATGGTCAACAGTTGATGCACTGCCTCTTAAAGCCCATATCATATGCCCATTCGCAATCCCTAATGGATCCGGTCGCATCAATCTGGGCGCATGTTGGCTGCCAATGTTGTCAATGTTATTGTATCTAATGCTTAGCCTGTGTGCCTTTGTGTGTTGCGATTGGCAAGTCAGTTTGTGGGGCAGAACGTAGGCAAGAAATGCGATGTTATCAACGTTTTAGATACAATTTGCAGCGC